TAGAAATTTACAATAAAAATAACTTAAAAAATTTTATTCTGACCTACATATATTATTTTAAGAAAGTCCGAGCAACTAATGGAGAGTATCGCATTTCCTTATGAAGATATTTATTCACATTCCTTTGCATAAATGGATCATTCAAGTAGGAGAGCTGAATATGTTATTATAGATTATTAAGTGAAGAATATTTGGAAAACCATTTACAGTAATATGATGAACTTAGTCCTATACATCCATTTTGCTAGTATTTAATGGATTGATAGCATATAATTCAATGTATAGGTATATATATATTTTTTATAATTAATTTTCGTTGATCAATTTAGGATCTTCACAATTAACAGATTAAAAATCGTAGATGTCATGTTCTCGACAATACGCTATTTTATTTTACCCCTACCTTTGCTTTGTGCGGTCGGTTGAAATGTCTCAGAAAGCGCTTAAAAGTTTCGTCGGCTATTCTGGGACAATGATAAAGAAACGTTACTGGATACATACAAAGTAATGTGATGTTTGATAATGTCTGGTATGAAAACCCAGCTCTGTCATATACACTGGAATAACATTTAGTTTTATCATTTAAGCTGTCTAACATCGTGTGCTTACTATTTTTATGCGGAATTGTGTGTTATTAAAGATATACTCTCAATGCGTCTTTAGAATCCCACATGGGGAGAAATCATCAAGGCTCTTCAACAGTCAACACTTTCCCGCTATGCATCCATAGACTCCATCCTTTGTATGCATACATAAAAGGTTATTGCAACTAAATTAATAGTAGTTGAATCGAATATCGACAAGGGCTAATCATATTGACGTCATATCGTTTTAGCGTCGTTTTGAGACCACGTTAGTATTACAAGAAACTTCTTATTGATCTTGTTATATAACATAATAAACCATTGTTAAAGAAATTTTTCTTGCGTCCGACACTTATTGTCTTTATAATGGTCCCACGTTCAATAGAATGTTTTCTTGACAGTGCACCCATGGATCTGTATAAATTTTATTATCAGAAGAAGTTCCAATAAAACCCAGGCTTGTAAGATAATAAATGAACTATCTTTCATTTGTTCAAATTGTCTCTACAAATTTTCAGATTATAAGGAGAAGCTCAATTATGTTGTGAAATTAAAGAAAAGGAAAAGGGGCTGGATAGGGCACATTTCAAAAGATTAAATAGCAACATTACTAGACAAGCACTGAGGTAGAAACCGCAAAGTACTAGGAGACCAGGGCGTCGACCATGATTTGCAGAAGAACAATGGCACGCAAATTGAAGGATTTAAATTACTCATGGAACGATATCGTTACCTTGGCCTAGTAATAATAAAGAAATATATTAATTTAAATTCAAAAATGTATAATATTTATTATTTGATAAAATTATTCGACATTATTGATTCTGTTGAAACCTCAAGAACAAGGTAGTTATTTCTATTAATTATATTACTTCAATTATTAGTATTATCATTATTAATATTATTAATATTAATATACTTAATTTTAAAAATATTATATTAATTTTTGATCTATATAATAATGGGTCAATGGGAAAAAAGATTTATATCAAAATCGGGTCAAGTATGGACTACAAAAAAATGCTAGGTTCCTTAAGGACGTGTACGAGTTAGGTTAAGGTCGTGTGCGAGTTAGGCTAAGTTGATGCTAAACCAAATTGGAGATTTTTTGGGATTTTTTGCACTGCACACATTTAGCCATTTACCAACACGTATCGACACATCACTACATTATCGGCACAACTTAGAATATCCCTCATTTAATACAGACAACATCAACTTGAATACAGACAACAGCTATTATAACTTATTTTAGCTTTTAACTTAATAATATATAATTAAATATAAAAACAACGTTCATAATAAATTTTTAATGCATTTTCAAAATAAAAACAAAACACAAAGAACATAGCTTAATATCATTGACGTCAATTATGCAATTCGAGACTCGCAGCTACTATCCGGCTAAATATCAGCTGTTGTTACAAAACAGCGCTGCGAAGATAAAAAGCAAATATAATACAATTAATATTACTTTTAATAAATTAAAAGCACAGTTTTTACAAAAATGAATAAAAATTTAACAATGAATCAACCCAAAAAAAGAAGCTTCTTTGAGTTTTTCGTGACGAAAAGGGGACGTCAAACGATGTTAATCGTGTCTGGAGCAACAGCCGTTTCGCTGTTTATGGGAAACTTTTTGCCACACACGTTTGGACTCGGTTACTACAAAGATTTTGTGCAGAGCTATCAGTAAATCAATGTACAATATTCAAACAATTGGAAAAAATTTTTAAAGATTTATATATTTACAGAAATGGTATACCACGGGAAGTGCCAGAGAATGTTAAGCAGCGCCTCGAGAAAGCAATGGACATATTACAATTACGTCGGTATGAACGGTTAATTATCAGACCCTTCACTGTGGTCGGTTTTGATTTATTTCAAGCAGGTGCATTACAGAATCTACAATACTTTTAAGCATCTATAAACAATCCTATTCTTTAGGTAGCATAAAATATCGTTTTGGTTCTGAGTTTGGTATTCCCGTCAATTACTCTTATGCCAGTCCAAATGATATCAAACGCAGTGAGATACGTTTTCGTGATAAAGAGATCAACTGGAATTCGGAAAGTGGGAAACTACTCGAAGAATCTATTGTGCTAACAGAACAGGAGCAGATTTTTAGTTTCTGTAAATCAATTCTTCAGCTACAGACACATAAAATCCTGATGAACTCGATATTTCCTTCAATCACGTTTATTGGCATGTATGCAGTCGGAAATTATGTAAATTTAAGAAACAATTTTTATGCCCGACCATTGGCGGTAAGTTAAACGCTATTAAATTAAAAGCAAATAAAATTTACAAAAATATTTTTCAGTTGCGTTTGGTACTGTATTCCATTTTGGGTTTGTTCGGTCTTGGGTCGTGGTCTTTTCTGAAAGATTTCAACCAAGTAACCTACGATGCTGATATTGATAAGAAACTATGTGAGCTAGGACCAGACTTTGTGGAAGTCGGAACGACCTACTATGAGAAGCTTTTAAAACGTAACATGGCATTACGTGCACTACTCAATAATGACCAATACACAGCCAAAGGCAACGAAAACTACTTAATAAGACAGAAAACAATCCCGCTTACATTAAGAAAATCATTCTTCGAAGGTAAACTTAAGGAACTCCAATCAGGCACACAAACAGAAAATGAAGTGGCTTAAAGTTAGTCAATAAATTTTTTTTAATATTGTTTAGAATGTTTACAATGGAAAATATATATGTTAAAGTATATAAATGTTTTTAATGATTAAATTTTTTTAATGCTAATTAAAAATGGTTTTAGTACTTAAGCTATTTTTTGTAAGAAGAAAAAAAGTTTACGCCCTTCCTTGTGGTATTATAAAACTGATATAGTCACCATACGCGCCCCATTCAGCACGTTTTATTTGGAAAATTGTTACCCAAATGCTTAACGCTATTAACCAGAGAAATGTGCCAAATGCTGAGTAAATAACATCTGTAAAGTTTAACATTTATTATATTTTTTAAAAATCCAAGAAAATTTTTGTCCGCCACTTACATTTCTTTATTTGCTGCTGCTCTAGAAAAGGCGGTTTACGAAAAGCTTCCGCAAAAAACCAATATGCATTAATGGCCCATACGAAAGGCAATAAAGCAAAACCAGCTGAAATTTAAAATTTTTTGCATTTTGATATAAATTATAAAATATTAACTTTGTATTCCTAAACAAATTTTATTTGATTTCGTTTTACCTCGAAAATATGCACGACAAAGTTCGAGCTTTTTCTGATTATTAACTTTACTAATATCCATCTTGTGCAGTGATTGCTAGTGTTTAATTTATTTTAATAAAACTTTTGTTTATTGTAAGGTTTGAGTCACAAAATTTTCAACACAACAATGGCAAAATCAGCTGTTCGGTTTAGGTATGTTCAATTGAAGACCCAAATTGCGAGTCTCACTTTACATCGAAATAATTTCGTTAAGTTCCACAATGAAGGTACCATATCAAATATTTAACGAGAATATTTGAGAACTAAAGCATTTAGTAAATATTTACGCCGTATTGTGAAATAGATATATATACAACGTGTGCGAGTTAGGCTAAGTTGATGCTAAACCAAATGGAAGATTTTTTGGGATTTTTTACACTGCACACATTAACCCATTTATCAACACGTATCGACACATCACTACATTATCGGCACAACTTAGAATTTCTCTCATTTGGAACGCAAAAATTAACAAAAGTATGTGTTGTAAAAATGCAATTGGATGTAGCTCATGAGGCTGAACGGATGTAACGAATATAAAATATGAAAAGAGAAGAATGCAGTAAAAGTGTTTAGTTACGACAAATTACACATTTCGAAAAACTTAGAAACATAAACACATTGAAATATAAACAACATATGTTCACACCGATCATAAAATATTTCACGCACAGAGAAATGCCATACAATTGCTTAATGTTTGTATCTGATATAAGATTTCTCTTACCTTAACGTCAAAAATCAAAACTCAATTTGCTCTCACGTTTTCCCCTTATTCTACTCTGGAACAAATTATGGAACGTTATTCATACAGTATAGCAATTCAGCTGATTTTTTACAACATAACTCAAAAATTAGTACTTAAATGACATTTAACTTATTTACATATTAAGATTATATGCGCGACGTCAATATTTTTCCTACATACTATATACATACTTGTATTCGCTTATATATGAATACATATTTTTTCAGCAGCCAATATTCAACATTATATTGTATTTGCATAATGATATATTACATAGCGCTGGAAATATATTCTTTAGAAATATTTTTGATGGCATAAAGTTTTTAGTTACTTTGGTTGTGTTTATTATTTTTTCTTTTGATATCATAGTGATATTGGTGTTTTATTTCAACCCTGTTTTATTTCATATAACAACTTCAATACTAAAATAAAATTATATGAATATCAGGCACAGAACTAAGTAGTTAGAAGCTATTTAAGTTTTCTATTTAAAAGACAGAAAGCGTCATTATAGCCTGGACTTAAGAAAATAACAAACATTAGCGGAACAGGTAAGTTATGCTATTTTTAGTTTAATTTAATAAAAATTAGAATGTTTATTTTTGATATATTTATTTACTACGAATTAATGGAGTTTTTCTCTTTAAAAATTAACAAATAAATTATTTTCTTTTTTACGAGCTTTTATCAGATTAAATTATAAATTTGTGTCCATTATATGTATATAACACCATATAAAGCTCGTGTGCGCGTTCGAGTAAATTGAGGTAAAGTAAATTGAAATTTCCTACAGAAATTTTTTGCACTGCACTTATGTTAACATTTATTTATTTATTTATTCACTTATTTATTATTTTTGGTCAAAAATTTTCAAATTTATTTATATATTTATTAAACATTTTATAAAATTTTCACAATGGTAAAACCTAATTTACCTAATTTTTATCTAATTTACCCTACCCGAAATTCTGGTAAGTATCAATTTTCCCTCAATTTACTATTAATTTATTCGAACTCACACACGGCCATAATATAATAATTTGCAAAGAAACGTTATATTTATAAACTTTAAATTATTATTGAACAGCAAAGCTTAATTGAAACTAAGTGGCAACTTCAACTAATGGAACGAATCCTTTTTTAACGAAGCGCTTTAAACGCGCAATTGACTCTTCTTCAAACGGCAGAAATTTTGTGAGTTGTGATAAAATGTCTAGCGAGGTTGACGATTTGGACAAATTAAGTAATGCTGAACTGCATAGTAAGTGTGTTGAGAATGGCATGAAGAATATTCCAGTAACTGATGCAAGCCGAAGCATACTTACCAAGAAGTTGCGTGCCATTTTAAGTGGAACTAAGCCGGACACGCCTACCAAGCAAAACAAACGGTACTCCGAAGCACCAAAAGTTGCTGATAAAGTGGTAGAGGATAAATCTAAGCGTGCCAACAGACGTACAATTGCCGTTACTAAACCCTTTGGCAGTGATGAAACTGTCGATGGTACAGAACAATCTACAGCTGCAATCGCGGTTACTAAAAAACGCGAAGCTAGCGTACAAAAAGTGTCGCCAGTAACCGTAATTGATACAATTGCCATTGAAAGTGACGATGACATGGATTTAGTAAAGGCGACAGCACAAGCAGAAGCAGTTGAACGTGGTGTACCGGTACGCGGGCGTACCACACGTTCAGTGTCTGTTACTAAGAGCAACATTCCTGTGCCCGTAGCAGTAGCAGCAGCAGCAGCTAAAAAAGATGTTGACACTATCATCGAAGAACAAGAACAAGTTGAGCCTATTGTGCGTCAACGTTCAACCCGTTCCGTTTCTCTTTCGAAATCAAGTGTTGTTACTGTTTCCTTTGATGGTAATGTACAGCCAATACAGGAAGAACCAATTATGTCATCAGCGCCAGTTTCACACCAACATACTGATGTCTACTCGAAAGTTGAGAAAAAACACTTTGAGCCAGGAAGCCTATTTAAGGAACCAACTAACAAAGCCAAACAACATCAATACATTCCAGTTGGAGATTTGAAATACTCACAACCTGTGAGCACAACTACCGGCTACGCTTCAAAATATGCTTCGCCTTTAAGCCTTGGTTCTGCACATTTTTTAGGTGGTACCCCCTCGTTATTGGCAGGAAAAACTAACGCTTATTATAATGAGCAGAGCGATGATACAGATACGGATGCATACGACACGCCGTTTTTAAGTAACTTTGCACGTACTTTGGATCGCTTGAAGTCTCCACATATGGATCGCATTGCTGGCGGCAAGTACAGTGGTGGTATGGCGGAAAATTTAACTCCACGTCCACGTAAGTCACTGGTGCACGACAAACGCAGACGTCCTTCGATCATGGCACAACTTGCGGAACTTTTTAGAGCAGTAGATAGGAAGTACCACATTCGCCGCAACTTATTCATCACGTTTATTGTTTTGGCGGTTATTACTTTTATATATATGTTTTGGCGTTAATTAAATATAATTTTGTAACGTTAATTTTACAATAACCAGTTAATTTTATAATCAGTTAATTTAAATTCATTAGAAATTTGTCATTAATTAAAAAAAAATGAAATTATATTGTTACATTTACATTGTTTGTTTTGAGTGTTTTTCAATTGTCAATGACGTATACATACATATTTTGATTAAAATTTTAATAAAGCCCTACAAAATAATTTAGTTATATTTTAGTTATATTAACTTAGATTTTTATGTTTTTGTTGTAATCTGTACTTCACAAGCAGGTGAAGTCCCTTTGAGCTAGAGCTATTGAACGGCGTTTGGTCGTCGCCGGTAACGTGTGGCTCTGGGACGTAGACTCTGCCATTCTTGGAACTAAGATTTAGATTTTTATTATTTATGGTTTTGTATTTTTATATTTAATTAACCGAAGTATTAATGGCTAAAGGTCGATAGAGTAGTTGGAATTAAAGTATATAATTGTCTTTAAAAAGAAAAGCTATAATAAAATTATATTCATATATATATGCATATATTCCTGTGCATTACTGTATGTGCTTCGTTTATTATATTATTTTAATGTATAATATTTATTCTACAATATAATGTAAAAGACAATTATAAATATTATTAGATTGCTACATGTAGTTTAGTGCAGCAGGAAATTGTATTAAGTTCTGATATAATTTGGACATTCTATTAGATCCCAACCACTCAACACTAATTTACCTCTACAAAACTATGCACATCCAATAAGAACATAAAAACAGCTCTATTTTGTGGAAGTAAAACATTGAAAAGTGTCACTACAATCCAGTCGAAAATTCAGACTGTTATAAATCCACGTAGAATCTTACGTACCAGTACAATTTAATTATCATTATCACTAACTAATGACACATGGCATTATCTTGATGTAAGAATATAGATCATATTCTTATAGTGTAAGAATATACATCGTATTCTTGTGATGTAAGAATATATATCATATTCTTATGACGTGAAAATAAGATGATGTCTTCATGTTTGGAAGATATAAAGGATGACCTCAAAATGTTTTTTTTTTCTG